GTCGATGTTGGCGACGGCGTATGGGTGATCGCTGAGTTTTTTTTTTTTTTGGTTTTGGAGCTAGGCGATGAGCTGGGTGGAGTATGGTTTTGTATTTGTATTTTCTTACTGTTGCTTGGTAGAATTGGGCCTGCGGGCTAATCTAATAGGCGATCCAGTGGGCTCTTCTGCTGTGCGGGGGTGGGCTAGGCGCGCCGACCGCTGTCCTATGCGTCAGACTCTTCTGAAGGCATATCTGTGTAAACTCAGAGTTAGCATGTAGAGGAAGACTCCACCACCGCTGCCAGCCTCTCCATGGCGCCTGACTCTCTCTCTGCCATGAAATGAATGGGTAGGACAGATAGGGGAGGCAAAGGGAAGCACAGAGGAGGAGAATATATATACTAACACCAAAACCTAGAGGTAGTAGGTGCAATTTTTCAAGTTGAATTCACAAGGTTTAATGCAGCATTTTCTTTTGTTTCAGAACAATGGTAATCACGCCTTTCGCTAGACTATGATGCAAATATAATGTAGCCCTGGTGATTAGTGATTACCTTGTTGATTTGTGAAGATCACGACAAATAGGAGGTCAATTAAGCTTATCACATGACTCCAATTGTTGATCAGCTCAACAATGGCTTATGACAGGTAAGGTGTGTGGATTTAATTTACCACGTGAACAGGATACACCTCTTTAGAAGGTTCTTTGAAAAATGTTTGCTAAAAACCCATCATAGATGTCAAAGTCACACGCGTGAAGTTAAGTCGGATGCTGATGCATTTGACTGAGGCATTATGAAAATTGCTAGATTTGGGCGATGATTGTCCACACAAGCTGACCATAGGAGATTTAGGCCTGGTGGGGACAGGGTGGTGGTGTTCATCTGCTGAATTTTCTTCAACCACGGCTACACATTTTCAGCAAAGAAGAGGACAGTGTGATGTTGGTCATACGTCTTTTGTTGTTAGCAAATAATGCAAATAAAGATCAAACACAAGACACAGAATTTTACGTGGAAAACCATTGCGGGAAAAAAACCACGGGCACCAACCAACGATCTACACTATATAATGATGAGAGTTTACAAAACACAGAGAATACACAATGAGTCTTGTGCTCTTTCTATGCGGCTTTCAAGATGTATATATAGGACGAACAGACTGCAGTCCAATACAAAAACCAATCCCCTAAGCACATAACCTGAACCGCGGGCCCTCCAAGTGTCCTCGCAAGACCCACGTTAGAATTCGGATCATATTCCAACATCTATGCCCTCATCATCCAATAAGGCATCGTCCTAGGTGGCGAATTGATGAAAATCTACTATCTCATATAGGAAGCGGTTTTCACAGGCATATGTTGAGTTTTCCTGTGCCAGCCTTGATTCATAGGCCAGCAATATCTCCAGTTGCATGCAAATCTGTTTCAGCAATGGATTGTTTAGAGAGACTCTTTCAGTATAACATGGAGAAAATAAGTTATATTCATCGGTTCACAAGAACAACACCATGTACTATATACCATAGTTTAATGGATGTAGTGATACTCTTTAGATGTTGTTAAGAACAACTTGCAGTACCAACAGTTTATAGCTAATATGAAACGAGATACTGGACTCAAACTTCTCATCGCCATATAATAATATAGTTTCATATGAATCTAAATTTATGTAATGCTCAATTTTCAAAAGAAGCAGAGTACTGAAAATTCAACCCTTATGCAAGTGTTCAGAAATGATGAGCACTAATAGCTACTTATATAATTTATTTAAGTGCAAGATTCAGATGTAGTAATATTCATTTATCAATTTGGTGATGAAGTATCACCTATTGAATGTTCTTGATGAATTGAAAATGAAGTGTATGTAATTCACGAAAAGACATTAAACATGATAACAAACAAGTTTGACCAGAAAAAAGATTACCAAGTCATCATCTTCAGTTTTGTCCCCTTTCTGCTTTGTTTCTAGCAAGAGCTTGTTTTATACTTCTAGCAGAGCACATCTCTGCTTTGCAAAATCTGGATCGATTCAACAGATTTTTGTTCATGGAGTATAAGTTTTTCTTTAGCAGCCATTGCATTAGCAACCTGAAAGCATTAATAGGGGAAAGAGAAAGGGATCATTGCTGGTAGATACTACAAAAGAATAACTTATCTGAAGCATTCATCTAAAATTTCCGAAAAGGCAAAATTTATGTTTTAAGGAAAAAAACAATTCTGCTAATTCATTGTAAGCACAGAAAAGAGCTTACTCTGCTATTCTGATGGTCACGATGCTTTTTTTTTAAACAAATCAGGCAGGAGCAATGCTTATGTTTTGATAATGCTACAGATCGTAAGAAAACATTAGGCAACTTCAGCTGGTACCCTGTCAATTCTCGAGTCTCGGCTACACTACAACTCTGTAGATGGGTGAAGGAACTAGAAATAAATAGACTGGCAAAATAAAGGAACCGGAAACAAGTAGATCAACAAAGGAACTAGAAATATTTTTTTAGTAGAAAATACAAACATCTGTATGCTTTCCTTATACCGAAAACTAATGCTGTACTCCATTTCATGAGACTAGAAAACATAAACTTTATTGTTGATCTGACAACAATGAGGACTAAATGTTTCTCTACATAGAGGATGTATAATATCGTATTTGTCATCAAGATATAAGCATGAGGCACCTGACATCGCGAGAAGCGTACAGTTCAGTCTCCTGGGCTGCAGATTCAGGTTAATGGTGAGAGGTCAGAAGCGCTGGGTTTATGTGTATCTACTGCTGAATTCGACATATGAGAACTTGAACTGGCAGGTTTCCATCTAATTTGAATTTTCTTTGTTTCCTCAACGCAATGACGCTGTATTTCTTATTGTCCACAATTGTGAGCCCTTCCTGTTAAAGAAAGGAAGCCAATTTACAATACAGCTCAGGGTTATGCCATTTATAGAAATAGATCTTTTACGATGGTTGGGAAAGTACCTTGATACCTCTAGGTTCTTTAATCTTTTTCTATTTTTAACTAATTAATTGAGAAATATATTGCAGAGGGTATGTTAGTAATTGAGGTTGTGTCCGTCTCAAACTTGACATAACCCCGCTGCCGGACCAAGTTTAATAGGGCACTTCCAACCCCCCGCCGGTGCCGCCGCTCAGTTGCGCATCTCCATCGATCCCGCACTGAAGACCTCAGGCATCCAGTGTGTTTGGGCCGCCGCCGCCATGTACGAGTAAAGGAGGTGCTTGTGTTCATGTCGCTACTAATCACGGCACCTGTGACGGTTCCTGACTACTATGGTGCAGCTGAGGACAGCCTGGCCCGACGGCACAGCTGCTGCCAGGCCAAGTGCACGACGGCCAGCGGCCTGCTCGCCCGGTGGCACAGCTTTTGCTGCCGGCTGCATAGGGAAGAGGAGCAAGGACAGCATCGGCTCGGGAGGCGCTGGGAATAGCACGTAATCGACTGGGCAGGTGCGGCTGCTAGTGGCCGTGGCCATCCAGCGAGAGAGAGCACGCGCGTGACACTTTCCATGGTCAGAGCTTCAACGGGTGAGAGAAGACCATGGTCCAAGAGACGGAGGAGGAATAAAAGGACTAAAATGACAGATTTACCCTTATTCGAAAATAAAATATACAATAGAAAATAGATCTTATCCGACATATTTTGGTATTAGCCCCACCTAATTTGGTACTATCTCCACATGTTTGGTACCTCTAGGTACTTTGAGTTGGGTACCTTCCATTTTTTCACTGTCCAATCTTACCCAATGGATGACCCATGTTTTTTCCAACCATCGTAAAATTTCTCTTATAGAAATAAAGAAACAAAAACAAATGCGTTGAGTAAAAACACATTACTTACAATGCATTTTTTATTGTTCCATCCACTAAGCTGGTTGACAAAATCAGAAAGACCCTCAGTGGTTTTCAAATGATCAAAGGTCTGACTCGTGATGCCGCATCTCCTGTCTTCCAGTGGTTTTCAAATGAACAACAAGAGTTACGGTCCTGAAATTACAAGGAAAGAAAGCTTGGAATAATATTAATGAAGTGAGAGACAATGCCAAACACAAAAGGTTCATTTGTGACTGTCAATATCTTCGGATACAGTTGCTGCCTCACCTGATATTTTCTGGATGCACCGTGTTGCTACATGGTTGTTCATTCCTTCAGTTCTTAAACGTAGGCGCCAAGCCATCCTTGTCAAGAATTCCCTTGGCTTTACTTGCCAAAGTTTGCCAGAACCCAAGGTTGGCTCATTTATGATTTTGAACGATGTGTAACATTATGATGAAGCAGAGTCCTGCAAAGGAAAACCAGTATATCATCTCATTGTGCTGTGGGCCAACTACTAGTGCTGTGATACAAACAAGGTGATTGTGCATATCAGATATTCAGATCACCAAAGTAGCTTACGTGTCATGATTTAGGGCGTCTAATATAATAAGGTGGAACCAAACAGTCAGCAGCCATTCATGATATGCCACAATACATGGTCTTTGTTGAGCCAGTTTTCTTTCCTTCTGAAAAGTACCAATTCACGGCATGAGATTCAAATAAAACTAAAGAAGGGTGCAATAATGCAATATTGTACCTGAAGAGGAAAATTGCTAGAAAGTATCATCAACAAGGCATATGCACCATGATCTTTATTCATTGAAACAATTCTCTTTTCCTCCTAAAAGTACCAATTCACGGTATGAGATTTAGTGCAATAATGCAATATTCAGGAAAAATGGTAGAAAGTGATATGATCCAGGAACTGAAATTGTAGGAGAGATTGAATTTGTTGGATAAAGAAATAAATAGTTGGACATGATATGATCCACTTGTAACACAGAAGCATATGGCAATGGGTCATATCTATATGCAAAAAATAACTAAAACAGTTCGGTTTGCACAGTCATTGAAACCACAAATCCAAGAGCATAAGCTGTTTTTTTATTTGGAACTAACCTGCAGATCGATGTACAGTGAAGAGTTAGAGTGCGTGAAAGGCAGGGAGAAGCAGAGATTCAGCTTTCCGCGTCAGGAATGAAGGAAGGCAAATGTAAGTATATCTGGCCTTGTTCCCCTTAATTTCTGGCATTCCTCATAAATCCCGGGACTGCAAGGATCTATGTCTAGCTGTCGCAGTGAATCGGGGAGGCCATCCTTGGGCAGCGATCTGATTTTTTGAGTCCTGAAGATACGTAATTCCTGGAGAGAAGGAAGGCGATGCAACCCTTGGGGGAGGGACCGCAGAGCCCTGCATTGAATGAACAACAGGGTTCGAAGAGACGTGAGGAGCTGAAGCGCCTCGTCCTGCTCTTCCGTGAAGTTCTCCGTCCGCCAATCAGCCCTGAAGTGTAAGCGCCGGAGGGTAGCGGAGAGGCGGCTGCAGATGGGAGCAACAAGCACTGCGGAGATGCTGTCCACATAAAGGCTCACCAGTTGGAAGGAACCGGCGGGCATTGTTTGGGTCCTTGCCACCGCTGCAAGTACATCTGCTGCTACAGAGTATGGCTCAGCCTCACCACCTCTGTTATTGTACACACACAGATCCTCGAGGTTGGATGTGATGAGGGGATCGAACCCATCCGCTGTGATATCCTCGCAATTAACTAGTTGTAGACTGGTAAGAGATGTGAGATTTGCGAGCAGAGCCATCGGCAGCGTGCTTTGCTGACCCTCAAGGCTGAGTTTCTCGAGGCACGGAGGGAGAGGGTAGATGATGCTCTGAGTCTGAAATGCAACTCCTCCCATGGACCATCGTGAGAATAGCTTGTCACAATGGGTTATGACCACGGACTCGAGCGACAAGAGGCCCCGGAATCCAGCTCCTTCCTCTTCATCCATAGGCAGGATCAGATTCTTACACCCAAAGAAGCGGACAACTCTCAGCGAGCTGGAGGGTGGAAACTGCAGTACCACTTCCTCTTGATCCTCATTTGATGATGCGATCACAACCAAACGAGAAAGAGATGGGAAACATTTGAACAAATCTGACAAAGATTTTCTGGTAAGAGGAAATTGTGTGAGTTTGAGAGATTGGACTGTGTGTAGCACGACACCATCATCCAGTCCTCTCAAAAACATTTCCTCACATCTAAGGACCTTTATATATCTTAGGGAATGTAGCTTTTGAAGATCCATAAATGAGAAGCATGATGCATCCTGAATTGTCAACCTTTCTACATCACCAAGATTGTGGAAGGCCAATAATTCATAGGGCATCCCAATGCTCAACGCAGTACGATCATAAAACAAGCACTCCGTCTTAATATGGGATACCTTCGAAGTGTGAGGCAAGGGAGGAAGGCACAACTTTGGGCATCTATCAATGTCAAGATCACAAAGACTAGGGAACCATATGATGTTGTCTTCTGTAGAAGAAATAGGCCAACCCGAGAATAGCAGCGTAGTGAGCATGGGACAATCAGTGCAGCTGATTTTTTCAAGCCTTGAGAACAGATGACAGTTAGCTCCCCCAACCCACTCCACGAGTTCCGGCATATCACAAAACTCAACTTCCTTCAAGTGTGTGAAACTTTTTTCTGTGGTGCCACCGAAGAAGTCAGGTCCAATCTGAGATAACCCAATAATGTTTTTCAGCTTTAGCTTTCTTAAGTGATACATCTGCCCAATAGGTGGAAGGTTGGCCCACGACACACTCTCTAGATGTAGGGTGTCCAAGTTTTTCATGTATAAGTTGTTGCTGCACAACCAACCAGGACCAACTACACCACCGTGATTTACAATGCGAAGTCTTCTAATATAAGAGTGTGGCTGGATACTATCTAGGATATCATCTCCAGTGGACTCTTGCTTCTCATTCCAAAGTAATCCCAACTCAACTAAATTTCTCTTTGCCATCAGTTTGGCTTCTTTAGCTTCTTGCCTGGTTTTTACATTTTCAAGCCCATGTATATTGAGCACTCCTCCAAGTTCTTCTAGTTTCCCCAACTCTCCTAGCTCAAAGCCAAAACTCTCTTTCTTGACATGGAATTCTTTCAATTCTTGTAAAAACTTCATTTTCCCCACCTCAGGAACATTGGAATGAAAATTTTCTGAAGCAACAAAATGGCGTAAATTTTTAAGGCGGCAAATGTCTTTAGGCAGAGAACGGCTACTTCCCCATCGGTTAACATCTAGAAATTTCAAGTGATAAAACCTAGACACTGTGTTTGGCAATAACACTTTTGAGTACTTAGGCGAAATAAGTTTTAAGTACCGAAGATGGACAAGGTTTGAAAAGTTGTGTGGCAAGGAACTATGGGAGTTCATGAATATAGATAGAACACGAAGACCTCTTATTTCCTTAAATGTATCCCTTAAAATATTGACTAGGCGTAACCTACTGTATTCTCCAAAAATCATCAAACTCCGCAAATTTTTAATGTCTATCCTTTCCTTCAATTTACCCATGTCTTCATCAAAATTCTGAATATGAGTATCATGCATGAAAATGGATAGGTAACGAACAGTTTTTGGGATTTCATTTGCGTCAAAACTAGAACAACTGATATAGGCACATTCTTCTAATGAAACGATCCTTGAAAGATCATGAAGTAAATCATGCATTACGTAAAAATTATCATCTCCTTTTATAAGAAAACCATTATCTAATAATTCATCCAAATAATCTGATCCTATGTCCTCGGTTTTTTTATTCTTCCTAGTACAGTCTATGATGCCTATTGAATCCCAAAAACAAATAATCTCAAGCTTCTCAAGCTTATAATCGTCAGGGAAAAGGAAAAAACATGAAAAGCATTTTTTCAGATGGAAGGGAAGGTAGTCATAGCTAATTTTCAAGGCTGGGATAATATCATTGTCATGATTTTCTTCTAGCCACTCTTTGTTGTCAAGAATTTTCATCCAATGTTCCTGAAAGGGTTTTTTGATCAATAACCGACCAACTGTTTTGGCTGCAAGTGGGGAGCATTTCAACTTATCTGCTATTTGTTTTGCAATACCAATTAACTCTCGATCACCATGCTCATCTTGGATCCTACCAAATGCACATATTTGGAAGAATTTCCAAAACTCATCAGGATCCAAACCACGGAGGTCAATTGGATTAGTTCCTTTTGTCACCATTTCTACAATTTTTGGGAACCGAGTTGTGACAAGAATCATGTTGCCACTGGTCTTGTCCTTTTTTAATGGAGCTAATAGTTTTTCCCACTCTTCAGTACTGCTACATTCCCATATGTCATCCAAGACAAGTAGAAACCTTTTGGATTTCAACCTCTTTGCGATGGATTTCTGAAGCTTGTCTAAGTTGGCAATAGTTTCATTTAGTATTTTATTTCCTTCATTATCAGTTGCAAGTAGGCAGCTCCGGATCTCTTTGGTGAGATTAAGAACGTCAAAATTATTCTGAAGCTGGTCTAAGTTGTCAGTAGTTCCATTTGCTATTTTATTTCCTTCATTATCAGTTGCAGGTAGGCAGCTCAGGATCTCTTTGGTGAGATTAAGCACGTCAAAATTAGTCGATACACATATCCAGACATTAATATCAGGAAAACATTGCTTCATCCTTGGGTCATTGACTAAGTGCTGGGTGAAGGTAGTCTTTCCAATACCCCCTGGGCCAACTATAGGAAGAACAGACAAGGTTTTACCACTCTGTGTCACACTGATAATCTCTATAGTTTTCTCAAAGATGGCATCCCTCCCAAACAATTTCTCCTGTGTGATTTGAGAGCTTGTGACAGGCCTTTTAGTGAAGGCAGGCATGTGTGGCTGAGGGTTACTGCCTGACACTATCTTGAGCAAGTCAGAGACAGGAGTACAGTTAGAGTGCAGCTCCTCTATGAGCTGCTTGATTTTGTTGGACATTTCCACCCGGTTGAATGGCAACTTTTCAACATGGACACCGTGGTCAAGAGACATGGCAGCAGCAACATCGTCATTTGAACGGCAACAAGAGAAGCATGAGAGCCAGTTACCAGAAGTGTGGCGAGCAGCATGGCGGGCATGCTGAGCTTTGGCGCCAAGGCCACCGCCCAAATCCGGAGTGGCCTCTTGAGTCCCGTCCAGCTTATCCTGGATGATGAAGTAGTGTAGCTCGTCGAGTGCATCCTCAGCCTCGTCGGCCTTCTTGCCGAGCTTCTCGAGCAGCCCCTGCAGGCCAGGTTTGTTGGTGAGGTCCCTCCCCTGGACCTCGTCCAGCAGCCCTCTGGTGTACATCATCTTGCTTTCGATCTCGTCAAGGTTGAGGCCGAGCTCGGTGCTGGACACGTAGGCTTTCACCCAGTCGTCGGAGAGCTTGTTGAGGACTTGGCCGAGGAGCCAGTTCGCCGCTCCGAGAGCCGCCTCCATCTCCTCCACCGGCACCGGCAGAGATGGATTCGGCTGGCCGCAGAGGAAATTGGTTTGAGTGGTTGGTGGACTGATCAGTGGACAGTTTAGCAATGCAACGAACAGTGTGCTGCAAAGGCTGGATGTGCGCACACTTATAGGCAATGGAACCGGTGGTTCCTTGAATGGCCGGTCACAGGTTGGCGTAGCAGCGACGCGACTATATATAAAATAAAATACATTTTCTTTTGCCGGCCCACCTAGGCCCTGGGGAGGCGACTTGAAAACCATCCTGTCGAGATTCCAAATTCGAGATGTGATGCGTGCCTGCAGTCGATGCCCGGCGGGGATGGACTCGATTGCAACATTAGCGGTAGTAGCCTTACTACCCGGCAAGAGGCAATAAAATATTTCAATCCCCTCGTTTCCATCCTCACAACTAGAGATAAGGTGCTGTTTTTTTTGGCGGCTCCTACCTAGCTTCCGGATGGACAATGTGAGGAGGGTGAGGATCACTGCTTCCACCTGTACTCGGGTCCACACTTATCTTTCCTCTCCCTCCCACCTCTCTCTCGACATAGCGGACCTGCGGCTGGCCCGCACGCCCACTTTTGCAGGAGGGCGGTGACGCAGAACCACACTCACCCTTCAGTTGCCCGCTCGCTCGTGCGTTACCCGGCGACGGCACGCTCCCGCCCTTTCCCGCGTGACGCACCGACAACGGCACGGTGACGCCATCCCGGCATAGCACCTCAGCTGCGCCCGGATCTAGACGGCGGCCCGGATGTCAGTGATGGGAAGAAGAGGAAAGCGGAGATTGAGATTAACCGGTGGTTTGCTCCCCTATAATTGAGGGATTGAGGCAAGATTTTGAGGGATTGAAAAGAAATTTAGAGAAACCGTATTGAAAAGGGGATCTGCTGGAGTATGTTTATTTTTGCTTCAATCCCCTATATTACTAGTTTTAGGAAAAGGGGTAATCAATCTTGTGGATACGCTCTAAGCACATGCCATCTGTGACAACTCGTAAAGAGTGACCTTCTGGCTTTTGTCAAAAATCAAAATATCTTACTTACTCCGTATGTTTGAACAAGTTTGTAAAAGAGATTGTCAATATTTAGGACACCATGTGGTTTCGCTGGAGAACGGCGGACTGAAAAGGATGCAAATAATAATGTAAGAAATATGTATTAGAAAGTAGAAACCACTGACCAAATGGACACATGACAACTTTTAAAGGCATGTTTATTAGATTTTCTTAAAAAAAAACATCCTGCAAAATTCTAGACTATACAACAAAGGAAATGACCACAGCGCCGAAGAGCCAAAGAGCCAAATAACCAGTTGCTGGGTACGGTAGCTGAAGGAGCGACATTGAGGCCATCCGACTATGCCTCGCTGAAAATAGGCTGTGACCCGCCCCTCGCGCAGGGGTAATCGGTTCTAGTGGTTTAGTGGTGAGCAGTAGGAACAGTGTGCTTGAAAGGCTGCATGATTTTTATTAAAAAAAAAATAGGCTGCATACAGCACCCACCTAGGATGAGCGAGAGCGAGAGCGAGAGCAAGAGCGTAGGCGAAGAGCAGTGTGCTGCCCGGAAAGGCTGGTGATGCGATTCCTTTATAGCTGTTCAGGTAATTGGTTGATGCCGTTCGCGTACCACGCATTTTATTGTGGACGTTTGGCCATTAGACAACCAGGGGCCTTTGTATCCAGCTTCAAATGGTTATGTTCTAAATTACCTCCGTTCAGCTTCATTAATTATATTTTCATAGTATACCTATAATGTTATAAATCTGTATAATCCTCTCTATAATTTTGGTTAAACCTAAGATACTTTGACTCTTCAAGAAAGTCAGGAACACTTATAATTTGGAACGGAGGGAGTAGTTTATTTTAGTTTTTATAGTAACTTAAACGTCTCTAATATTTGTGCTATTTTCTACCAAGCTTATTAAAATTTTACTAATGAATTTTTATATTCGTCTAACTCGGTATTTGAACAAAACTCAATATTTTATTAAAATTAATATTTAATGTTTTCTGTTCTCTATATAAGAGAGCTGTAAAAACTAAAAGAAAAAAATATATGCGACGATACACGATTGATCTATATATTCTTATCATATAAAAAATGGCTAGCATTTGCCATGTTCATTATGTGGGAGACCCACGTTCATAATTACAAGATGCATTAAAAAGGAAAATTATATGTTTAAATTTCTTTCACAGAAAACATAAACATCCATTCATCAACTCGTTAGGCATCATTCACTGCTATAGAAAAGATATCTAGAGACAACTGTAAAGAGCTTTTACCTGTATGTCTCTAGAAATTAATGATTTTTAAAGGCGATTAGGTACCTAAACTGCCTCTAGAAATCATTTTTTAGAGACAGCTAGGCACCACAGTTGCCTCTAGAAAACATTTTTCTGTTGCAGCTGGGCTTGGCTTACTCGTAGCCTTTGTAAACTAATTTTCAGAGATGACTCTTTTTTCTCATTTGCCACTAAAATAAATTATCAAAAGTTGAAATTTTCCTAACAAATTTATATTTTCATACTTCGAGTTCCACATAAACCAATACAGGATCACAATGCATACATATTCATATATAACACACCCACCAATATGTCATCACAAAAACTATGAATCACGGAGTATGGAATTATGTATGCTAACTCTAATTCTAGGAAAAAATAAATACGATAAGTTGTACTGATGATCTAATTTTATCTCTTCCAAGTAGTATAGAATGTGTTTGGTTTGGTAACGAAGAGGGCGAAAATGAACCCAACCTTAATTTTTAGTATCAGTCGATTCCACTTTATGTTTGGTTCAGAGGGTCGCGTCTATATATCCTAGATTCTTGTTTTAGTTGAAGGAATGTATTTGGTGGTATGAGACCCTTGACATGTGGGACACGCATGGCATTCTCTACTTTTCCTCCTTCCATTCTTTTCTAGAAATGCTCCATGTTGCCTGAGGCTTCGAGCTCACCACGCTCGAGCTGCATCGCCAACCCTAGTCTCATGTTGCCACCCCTGTACTCGTGCAAGGCACGCTGCCACCACTCGGCTTGCCACATGCCATACCCCCCCCCCCCCACCCCCGTACATACTCCTTGCTGGTCCGCGCTCAGCATCCATAGCAACTCGACCCACATGCATGTCCGCCTCCATTTTCACACTCGTTCCCACAGCTTGGCACCTTTTCATAAGAGAAGAAGGGAGAAGACAACGAAGAAGCAAAGCTGGCGCGTGGATGAGTTGGACAAAGTGGGTTGAGTTTTTTTTGCTTCATTTTGGGCGGACGGATCGAATACCACGCGTTGTTATGGGAGTTTCAAATAAAACGTTTATAGTATTAAATCAAATTATATGAGAATGTGATAGTCAAGTAAATAGTACTACGTGTACACATTGTATGTTGATAGACTGAAAGCAGGGCGAAGCTGAAACAGAATTTATGGTGGTGCACACAGGGCTGGATTAACGAGCTAGCTCGGCTCAGCTCGTTCTGGCTCTTAAGATAACGAGCCGAGGCCAGCTCGGCTCGTCTCGTTTACGAGCTCGAGCTGGCTCGTTAAGCTCGCGAGCCAAATATAAAAATCACACAAAATGTAATATATGCATTTATGGGAAGCATGAGAATAGTAATAATACAAAAGTAACACATACATAAGCCTTAAATCAAACAAACAAATTAATATGTATTGATATATTGACAAGTATAACAATATACTATAGTATTGCACCATACATCTATGGTCCATACTCCATACTACACATAATGCATCTATAGTCTATTATTGATTATCCATACAGCATTAAAAATAAAGTGATGGAGTAATAATAATCTCACTCCAAAGTTTACATGGTCTCTAGATCTAGGCCTTGATCAATTGTAAAGTATAAGCATGAAGTAATACAAAATTAATATAAGTTCAAGGCCAATAATGTTGGCTCGTTAGGCTCGCGAGCTAGCTCGTTAACTTCACGAGCTAAAATGCTGGCTCAGCTCAGTTGAAAAATATAAATGAGCCGAGCCACTAATGAGCCGACTCGAGCGAGCTATGAGCTTTTCGTCTAGCCCTAGGTGCACACAAGCATAGCCTTGTAGTAATATCACCATTTGAGAGCTTGTTAACATGGTCAAAAAAGGTTACTTAATGCTACACAATTTTTGTACCATGGTGTCAGTGCACCACCTGTAGATGAACGAACGTGGCTTGGCCCCTGACTGAAAGTAGTAATTACATTTAGTGGGAGATGTTATAGTAATTATTTGGAATGATGTGGCATTTAGTGGAGGATGCCATGTGGCTTGCATGTGGAGATTGAAAGATAGTGAGGTTTGCGTACCAGAATGAACTCAATTGAGCTAGTATCCCCAACTAAAAGCGTATAGAAATGGATACAACCCAACTTAACCGAGTTCAACACTAGAACCAAACACAAGCCACACTAGCATAGAGTTGGTAGAAAAGAGAGAATCTTTTTAAACTTTTAATACTGTTTTATACTAGAATACATAAATAACCCCTCACACAATTACAAGATACACATCTTTCAACATTTGATGTTGGCCATTTCAAAAATAAAAATTCCCATCATAACGATGTTCACCACTGATACCCATACTTGTTGCAGTGAACTTAAACGCATGAACCTTTAACCACCGACCATAGAAACAAGATAAAATTTTGGGCATCTAGATGGTTTATTTTAATGGTGGTTTTTGTGTGGTCTAAAAATAATAAAAATCTTTTTTTAGAATTACATAGTACAACGCAGACGCCCACAACACGCATGCACACTCACCCTCTCTGAACACACGTATGCAAACTCTACCCCTATGAGCACCACCGAAGGACTGAGCCTAGTTTAGTTTCAAATAATATTAATTCGTAACTACTCAATTTAAATGGGAAACGTATCTCACGTGGGTTAGAATTTGAACCTGTTTGGATGGACTAAACTCAAGTTTAGTTCATGTTTTGGATGGCAAATAGAAGGTCTA